TACCAGTTTCCTGCCTCTCAAAGAGTCTGTCCCTGTCCAGCTATCAAGTTACTCCCTCCAAGCTTCATGGGCCCTGCCATACCTACTTTACTATGTATGGAACTTACCTACACTACTTCGTCGAGATAATTCCGCTTCCTGTCCACCTTGAAGTTCAAGAAATACTTCCTGACATCACAATGACACGCCAATGTCTCTACCTTCCAAATGTTTTCCGCCTTTCAAATAGTATATTTCTGCCTACCTTAATAATTCCTCCGAGTATTTTGTATATTGTTATCATGTCACCCCTGGCTTTTCTGTCCTCTAATGTTATCCATTTTAGTTCCTATGCTTTCTCAAGTTTCTTAACATGCTGTATTAGGTATGCGATCCAAGATGGTGCAGCATACTCCAAGAACCTGACTTATGTTAAACAAAAGACCACGGATGCTCGTTTGTCGAGATTCCTGAAAGATACTCTTGGAATTGCCAAATGAGCATTAGCTGCGGAGGCTATTCAGTTGATGTGAGTGGCGATATGCGTGGCACTATGCTTACCCCTAGGTCCTCCTCCTGTGTTAGTTAGTTGCCAGTTGTCAAAGGCACTAGTCGACAGACCCTTGTCCTCTTTTTTGTGTATTAGTTACTAATTGTCAAAGGCACTTGTCAATAGACATGATCTAATGTGTGTGTGTGTACTCACCTAGTTGTACTCACCTAGTTGAGGTTGCAGGGGTCGATTCCGAGCTCCTGGCCCCGCTTCTTCACTGGTCGCTACTAGGTCACTCTCCCTGAACCGTGAGCTTTATCATACCTCTTCTTAAAGCTATGTATGGATCCTGCCTCCACTACATCGCTTCCCAAACTGTTCCACTTACTGACTACTCTGTGGCTGAAGAAATACTTCCTAACATCCCTGTGATTCATCTGTGTCTTCAACTTCCAACTGTGTCCCCTTGTTACTGTGTCCAATCTCTGGAACATCCTGTCTTTGTCCACCTTGTCAATTCCTCTCAGTATTTTGTATGCCGTTATCATGTCCCCCCTATCTCTCCTGTCCTCCAGTGTCGTCAGGTTGATTTCCCTTAACCTCTCCTCGTAGGACATACCTCTTAGCTCTGGGACTAGCCTTGTTGCAAACCTTTGCACTTTCTCTAGTTTCTTTACGTGCTTGGCTAGATGTGGGTTCCAAACTGGTGCCGCATACTCCAATATGGGCCTAACGTACACGGTGTACAGGGTCCTGAACGATTCCTTATTAAGGTGTCGGAATGCTGTTCTGAGGTTTACTAGGCGCCCATATGCTGCAGCCGTTATTTGGTTGAAGTGCGCTTCAGGAGATGTGCCTGGTGTTATACTCACCCCAAGATCTTTTTCCGTGAGTGAGGTATGTAGTCTCTGGCCCCCTAGACTGTACTCCGTCTGCGGTCTTCTTTGCCCTTCCCCAATCTTCATGACTTTGCACTTGGTGGGATTGAACTCCAGGAGCCAATTGCTGGACCAGGTCTGCAGCCTGTCCAGATCCCTTTGTAGTTCTGCCTGGTCTTCGATCGAGTGAATTCTTCTCATCAACTTCACGTCATCTGCAAACAGGGACACCTCAGAGTCTATTCCTTCCGTCATGTCGTTCACAAATACCAAAAACAGCACTGGTCCTAGGACTGACCCCTGTGGGACCCCGCTCGTCACAGGAGCCCACTCTGACACCTCGCCACGTACCATGACTCGCTGCTGTCTTCCTGACAAGTATTCCCTCATCCATTGTAGTTCCTTCCCTGTTATCCCTGCTTGGTCCTCCAATTTTTGCACTAATCTCTCGTGTGGCACTGTGTCAGACGCCTTCTTGCAGTCCAAGAATATGCAATCCACCCACCCCTCTCTCTCTTGTCCTACTGCTGTCACCATGTCATAGAACTCCAGTAATTTTGTAGGGTTGTGTGTGTGTGTGTGTGTGTGTGTGTGTGTGTGTGTGTGTGTGTGTGTGTGTGTGTGTGTGTGTGTGTGTGTGTGTGTGTGTGTGTGTGTGTGTGTCTGTGTGTGTTTGTGTGTGTGTGTGTTGTGTGCGTGTGTCTGTGTGTGATTACCGATTTGTGTTCACCCATTTGTGTTTGCGGGGGTCGTGTCTCACCTTCTGACCTCTCTTCTTAAGCTACTTTGATAGGGATTACTGGTTTTGACCTCTTGGACCTTATACGTATTTTTGGAAGTGTGCTTTAAGTTACGTATGTCTTTTGTATTTCCTTCGTCCTTATTTCAGTAAATAATTATGTAGCTCTACACATCTAATTTATTTCAATAAATAATTATGTCGCTTTACAAGTATTAAAGTTAATAAAAACCGTTTTGAATTTTAGTTAAAGAAAGAGTAGCGGAGTGTTGAGGAAGATAAGTTCAAAGGCTTCTAAAGAGGTTTTATGATCATTTATATACGATTTTATTGACATTTACAGCAAAATTTTTGACACTCGAACTGAAGACACACTAAGCATGAGTCACACTGGCGGCTACAGGACCTAAAACACCACTAGACGTCTCACTGGCGGCTACAGGACCTGGAGCACCGCTAAACGTTATACTAACAGTTACAAGACCAGCAACACCACTAGACAACACACTGGCGGCTACAGGAGCTGTAACATCACTAGACGACACATTGGCGGCTACAGGACTTGTAACATCAGTAGACGACACGCTAGCGGCTACAGGACCTGTAACATCACTAGACGACACACTGGCGGCTACAGGACCTGTAACACCACTAGACGGCACGCTGGCGGCTGCAGGACCTGTAACACCACTAGACGACACACTCGCGGCTACAGGACCTGTAGCACCACTAGACGACACGCTGGCGGCTACAGGACCTGTAACACCACTAGACGACACGCTGGCGGCTACAGCCTGTAACACCACTAGACGACACGCTGGCGGCTGCAAGACCTGTAACACCACTAGACGACACACTGGCGGCTACAGGACCTGTAACACCACTAGACGACACACTGGCGGCTACAGGACCTGTAACACCACTAGACGACACACTGGCGGCTACAGGACCTGTAACACCACTAGACGACACGCTGGCGGCTACAGGACTTGTAACACCCCTAGACACATGTGCAACATCTGGATATCTTTATTGTAGACGTTTCGCCATCCAATGGCTTTATCAATACAGATTCTAGGACATAATTAGAAGACAGTAGAACTATATACAAAAGATGAGTTAATCAGTCCCTCAGCCTTGGAGTTAGTGTTCACAGCATCGTGGTGGAGGAGAATCTGGAGCAAAGGCAAGAAGACTGGCGGTTATATGGGAGTCAGTGGATAAGGACGTGCAGTAGACGAGGGCATAGTCACTGGTAGGCGGGATTTCCCAATGGAAGTAGATCCTACCCGAAGGGGGGATGGGTTAGTTGTAGCAGCCGTGAAGAAGGTCTTGTAGATGTCCTCTGAACCAGTGACTATGCCCTCGTTTGCTACACGTCCTTATCCACTGACGCCTACATAACCGCCAGTCTTCTTGCCTTTGCTCCAGATTCTCCACCACCACGATGCTGTGAACACTAACTCCAAGGCTGAGGGACTGATTAACTCATCTGAAGATTGAGACACTTATGCAACATATGGAAATCTTTATTAAGGAAACGTTTCGCCACACAGTGGCTTCATTAGTCCAATACAAAGCAGAGGGTGCAAGGAGAGGAGGAGTTTGAGGTAATCAGTCCCTCACCCTGGAGTCGATGTGTTCAGTCCATCAATCTTGTAGAATGTACAACATGGGGCCGTAGACGTGGCTTATATACTGTAGTCAGGTGAGGCGAAGCAGGAGGAGGCGGGGTCATAGTGGTACTATCCACTAGTCGAAGTAGGTCTTCGTCCAGTGGACGAAGTGGATGGTACTAGTGGATGGTACCACCATGACCCCGCCTCCTCCTGCTTCGCCTCACCTGACTACAGTATATAAGCCATGTCTACGGCCCTATGCTGTACATTGATGGACTGAACACATCGACTCCAGGCTGAGGAACTGATTACCTCATACTCCTCTCCTTAAACCTGCTTTGTATTGGACTGATGAAGCCACTGTGTGGCGAAACGTTTACTTAATAAAGATTCCCATATGTTGCATAAGTGTCTCAATCTTCAACTTGTCGGTTTTTCAAACCATTCATCACACATTACCTCATCTTCAGGACCTGACACACCACCAGACGTCACACACGAGGCTACAGGACTAGAGTGAAAATGAATATATCATACACACTGGAATATATATCAGCGTTATCTTTCAGTATAACTGAGTGACAAGTTCAAGTAATGTCAATAAATTTATATCTACTTTATAAAGTACTTCGGCTTAAGACATGTCGAGAACTTATGGGTTATTAGGGCTGCAGTTCCCTCGAACAGTACCAACAAGGACACTTTAATCACTAAAGTACGGATTAAACAGTTTTTCATTGAAAAATATACACCTTTCAGTGGATATTCACTGGAAAATGTGTATTTCTTTATCAGTTTAATACAAAGAAGAATGTCGGTCCCCTGGACCATTTATCTACAAATGTCAATGTATATACCCTGCCACCCAGTTAACGTGTAAATTGGCCGTAAATACACTACTAATAAATATTTTCTAAGTTGAAATGCTGCATTCATTTGGATAAGTCGTCACAAGTCCTAAAAATTAGATAATAAAAATAGTATTAAATTGTAATTAAATGATATATAATTATTATATGGTTAGTTTTGTTTGGTGGGTCATAGGCACCGTTGACCAGCAGCTGCCCATCACTGCTGCACAAGCACCTGCAATATACACTAACCTATCATTTATTTATATTTTGTTCGGGTTTTAGTATCATGGCATGAAACAAACAAAATGTGGAAATACTGATTAAATGTAAATATTAACAATGTTTACGTAGAAAAATAAATAGGTAAATTTCACCAAAAATAAGAAGTTCGCCCCAGCGAAAGTCCGCCATGGTGGCGATCCACGGGGGGTGTTGACA